AATGTGAGGGCGCCAGGACGAACCGCTAGAGGGAGCCCATTTTTCTCCATAAATCCAATTTCCATAATTGTTCCGAACGCACACATTGTGCAGTCACAAATCAACACAGCATCACAAAGTGTAAAGTATGCAAATTTCTGTGTATATTTTAAGTCAAACAGAAACAGAGATACATAGTTCAGGCATGGCCTCCTCTGACATTCACACCAAAACACTTGCCAGATGGAGGAAAAGGCACAATTCCCTGTGTTTTGCCTCATCAGAAATAGCACTCTAAACCCAGCAGGCTACAAAGGCCATTACGATTTGTTCCTAACAAATTCGTTTGCATAAACGGGTTGATATTTCATCTGAGAGTTCACCATGGAGCAGCCAACCTTGAGAAATCCCTCTGCCTTGAGTAACTACAAACCAAATGCAGCAACCACCTCAAAAAGCGCTGGATCAGCAGTGTGTCCCTTTGCAGTGAAGGGTAAAGATCTTTCCTGGGGAGCAGAGGAGCCCCAGATTTTATGTTTCATACCACAGATGCAGGTTTGCTTCACTATGCAACTTCCAGCAGCTGAAATGCCCCCAAGATGGGGTTCCATTACCCCCTTCATACTCCCAGAGCCTTGCCAAGTCCCATCCTGTCACCAGACCTGTTCTCTACTTAGATAACACTGCTCCAAATGGCTCCAACATATACACTTGCCAATGTTTTCATTACAAAAACAAATTAGACAGCCCAAAAGGACTAAAGGATTAAAAATTTGTTCTGATTCCTTCCAGCTAAGGAGCCAGGGAAGGGTCCGTGTGAGATGTGTGAATAGATGGGCAGCAGTATGGCCTGGCAAAGTCCAGCTGGCATTTTTCTGTACCCTCCTCTTCTTTCGCTGCATTGCACCCATTGCCCGTGTCAACAAGCTCAACTTAGCAGCAAGCCTAGGAAGGATTAATCTCAGGAATAAACAAGCCAAAGCAGAAGTCCAGCCCAAACAGTGAGCAAGGGCCAAGCACATCCACATCAACTCTCAAGTCTTCTCCAGTCCATGGGAGAACAATCTCTGCTCAAGACACTGGGGAGCCATCACCCATTCAACATCAGTAATCCCAGGACACCCTCCATCAGGTCAGAGAAAGCTGGATATCCTCCCCAAAGCATAATATTTCCTAGGTTCACTCGCTTCTATCACAAACTCCACCTTGAGCCTAAGATGACCAGCCTTTATCACACTAAAAAGCACACCTAGAGGAGGCATCTCTCTCCCTCAATCACCAGAGCAGGAGAGCAGCAATGGGGTGATGGTGGTTGTGTAGCAAGAATGGCAGATGGTAGGAATGGAGGCTTGCCACCTCCAGAAGACTCAACAGGAAAGAGAATAGCTGGAAGTTGTCGAACTGGTTTCCTACATTTTGTAGCTATCACAGAAAAGGGGTGTGGGTCATCCAGCCGGAGAGCAGGAACATTCTCCAACACGCAGGAAAACTTTGCTAAAGTTTGTACATCTTATGGAAGCAAGTGTTGTAACCCTCCCAAACTCAAGGAGTAGGGGACTTTCCCCCAAGCGCTAGAAACTTTCTTCTAGGCAGATCTTCACCCAAGTCTCTGGTGCACGGCTGTCTGTCAGGAATGCTAACATGAGCAGACGCTGCTTTCATGTTTGGGAGTTTTGCCACTGACTTCAAAGTACTGAGATATAACACCTCGTGTATTCCCTAAACACACTTAATAACAGCACCTGACACATTTAAAGTCTTAGACACGTTAAAGGCATCGTACAACATTAGCAAAAAACCAGGAAGCCCTGTCTAGGTGGTTCATGAGAAATCTGGTAAACCAAGAGTCTATCCCTGAATCAGATGCTTATCTATTAGCCAGCTAATAACTGTGTGATGGCTTCTTCAACTCATCCATACAGCCACAACTCATCAACCTTCTGGTGAGCTGTGGAGACTTTAGATTACTCATAATCCTCTTAAAACATAACAAAGAATACAGATTAGAAGGTGTCAAGCATGCAGTAAGTGTTCTAAACCCAACACAAACACAGCCATGTCAGCCTGAGTCAGAGCCTGCGTCCTGGGAGCTCACTGAGCTCCTTTTGCAGTCATGCTCTGGGGATGCAGGCAGTGCAGGGTTTGGCTCCTGGTGCCAGGTTGGTGAGACAGCCACACACCAAACAGTGCCTGGAGCCAGTTCAAAGCAGACAGGAGCAAGGTCAGTGTGGCAGCACTGCTTAGGGGGTAAGGTTGTGGGGCTAAGACATGAGTGTTCCCCTTTGCTTCAGGGCAAGCAATGGAAAGAAGGAACAGCTTAGTCACTTTGGAGAAGGAGAAAGTGAAGGGCTTTTGTCTCCAGAGAGTTCAGAAATAAGATAAAAACATAGTTCATAGGGTAGCTCTTGGGCCTCTGACAACATGGAGAGGGCCACCATCAGGAAACCTCTGCACAGATCCAACTGGAGACAACACTGAAGCGACTTCATCAGCATCTCTTAACTTAGCCAAAAGTTGTTTTATCACAGAATCATCAAGGTTGGAAGAGACCCTCAACATCAGCTAGTCCAACCATTAACCCAGCGCCACCATAACCCCTTCTTATCCATGCCCCCAAGCACCACATCCCGATGCCTCTTGAACACTTCCAAAGATGGTGATTCCACCTCCTCCCTGGACAACTTACTCCAATGCCCGATTACTCTTTCAGTGAAATTTTCTTCTAGTATCTAATCTGAATCTCCCCTGGTGCAACTTAAGGCCATTTCTTCTCGTCTTTTCACTTGAGATAAGTCAGAAGAGACCCACCCCAACCTCACCTGTGTCCATGTGTTTGCATTCACAGGTGTCAGCCAGGCATAACCTGACAAGGCTCCATGCAGATGATGACCTCCATGGTCAGCAAGCTGAAGTAATGCCATTGAAACGAGCTTGAAGCGATGACTATTTGGACAAATGTGGAATTATAAACTGTACAACTCTGCACTTAGTACACATGGGTATACTGTAGGAGGGTCTTGACACTCTTCTTTTTGGAGACAGCACAACTGGCACCGATCTTTGCAATAACCTGCACAACTGCTAAAAAGTGCAGATAATAGACAACACTACTTTATCAGGACATTTCTGAGGTTGCTGTCTATGTACATTGATGTTTTAACTGCACTGGGTAAGTTCTACAGCAACAGAAAAGCGCATCCCTGACTACGTTATCAGTCAGGAGGAACTCACAGTAATTACCAATGAAAATCATTCAGTCCATTAGCTGTTTTAAATACACGGCTAATAGTATCAGCAGCAGGTTTATGTGTGGATCCGTCTTCCCCCCAAGCACTTCATATTACTTTCCGTGCCATATTCCTCAAGTTTTCACAGCATTTATCTACAGTTTCCCTGTTCACAGTAATAGCCAGAGATGCCCGATACTTACAACTTCAACTACTGTTGCTTGACACTGCCAGCGTATATGCTCATAGCAACAAACAGCAGGAAACAGAACCCCTGGATCTTAGAAATCTGCGTCCTGTCACTTTTTGAACCTTAACAATCTGCAGATACAAGATGTTTTACTCTCTGCTAACCTGCGACTTGTGATACTTGTAACGCTATGCGATACTCGTAACCACAGCTCCTGCGAGCCTCAGTGACTGCCCCTGTAGTACTATCCCTGTGTACCACGCTGCAGACACTTCCACCAGTGTTTGTAAACATTTTGTCTTCCAAGAACTTTCCACTTGAAACAGGACTGCTAATGTATTCACATGCGTAATAATTAGATGCAAATTTAGAAAAAGCTACTTTCTTGCTCAACTGAATTACTATTAATAGCGATGTTCACATTATTTTGAAACTCCCCACTGTTTAAACTTCGAGGACTGCTCGTTTTACTTTGGAAATTTACTCCCAGTTGTAACTTCACGAAGAAAGTATTAATTTGTTCAAATTTATGAGACATACATGCTTTAGCCTTTTCCATTCATAGGTTAGATAACAAACTGGTTTCTCTGAAAAACTACCCAATGAAATATTCAACATAAGGCATTCTATAAGCTTAGATGTGCACTACAAACTGCTGTTTTACTGGGGTGTCCCTGTAGGTTGGCTCTGGCACGTACGCCTGCATGTTTTATTCTTTGTCTGAAGGAGGAAGCTCCCACAAGTGAAGAGAAGGCTCTTGGATATGGGTCACAAGTTGGTGTATCAAAACTTAGATAAGAATTTTAAAAAAAAGAACTACAATACACTAGCATATTTTCCCCAAGATTTCAGGAGGGGAAAGGGGAAAAAAAAAAAAAAAAAAAAAAAAAAAAAGAAAGAAAAAAACCAAACCCACAAACTCAACATAAACCAGACCTTGAATATTCTTTGCTATTTCATTGGTTTCTGCAAAGAGGAGAAAATCAAGATTTGTCCAAAGCCAGACCAAAGGCAAGAAGACACACTGATGTATGTTGCACGGTTTTCCTCTGCACTTGGCATGTTTGACACAGTCATTTTACTCGTGCTTCGTTTTTATCAAGTGACAAATACCATTTATACGTTTGTTCCCTATCCAGAAGAAGACTAAAAGAAATCCATTCCTCTCTCATAACCTTGTGGTATTTTCCAGCTCCGACACCAAAACGCATTACAGTCTGATTATCCCCCTTTCTGAACCAAACCCCCGAAACCGTTTGTACTCAATTGTACTCAAAAGAGAAGCAACGAGACAATGAGAAAAAGAACGACCACCGAACACTTGGTGCGACCACCCCCTTTCACAGCTCCGCTCACATCGCCACCACCGGGAGAGACCCTTTCCAGTCCGGGGGTGCTCCAAGGGGCGAAGGGAGCCCGCCCCTCGGGGAAACCTCTCGGGTCCGACTTCTCGCCGCCCACGACCCGAGACAAACTCCAGCGGCGGGCAAGAGCGCACCCCCGCCCCGCGGCACCCCGAGCCGTGCGGGGATCCCCCCGCGGGCTGCCCGGCCGGGGGCACCGCGCCTTCGGCCGCCCCCCGCACACTCCTCCGCGGCACTCACCGGAGATCTCGGCCTGGGGCACGCCGCTGAGGCTGAAGCCCTTGGCCCCATACAGCTGCCGGACCTCGGCGCAGCTCCTCGCCTTGCTGCCGCTGTCACCGCGAGCCGGGGCGGAGGCGACACACAGCAGCCAAAATCCCCACGGGAAGACACGCATCCTTCTCCGCTGGCCCCGCCACCTGCCGTGCGAAGGGCAAAGCCAAGGTCCCGCGGCGGGGAGGCGGCCGGGGGGGCGCAGGGTGCGGCCCCCTCCGCGGGCAGCCCCGGCGGGACGGCGGGCGAGGGCGGCGGAGCCCCGGCTGCCCGCGGCGTGCGGGGAAGGCGCCGGCGAGTTCAGCCCGGACGCCGCCGCGGCTCGGGCGGAGGGGGTAGAGATCCAAGTTCGGCCGCGCCGCTTCAAAGCCCCGGAGCGTGAGCGCGCAGAGGGCTTTTGTTCTTAGCGCGGCTGCATCCCCGGGCAGTCCCGCCGCGATGCTGCGGCGCCGCCGGGCCGGGCGGAGCGCGGCGGGGCGGGGCGCGGGGCGGGCTGCGGGGCTGCACCCGCGGCGGGGCCGGGCCGGGCTGGGCTGGGCTGTGCCGGCACCGCTCCACCTGCGCGGAGCGGGCGGCGGGGCGGCTCCGAGCGAGGCAGGGCTTCCCCCGCCGGACGTGGCATCACACGGCCCCGCGCCAATCCCGCGCGGGGCGCAGCCCCCGCCCCGCCCCGCGCCCCCGCCGCGGGCGCTGCGCAGCCCCCGCACCCGCCGGGCCGGGGCGAGGAGCGTCCCGGAGCCTCCTCGGGCAGGGCAGGGCTCAGACCAGCCCCGGGGCACTGGCAGCACTCGAGGAGCCGCGCGCCGTCCTTCGGGAAGGACGCGGTGACAACGCGCATCAAACCCGTCTTTGTCTGCGGCGTGGTACGGGTGGTCGACCTGAGGACCCCGAGTCCCCCAAGGCGGTGGAAAAACAGCCGTATAGAAGACTTAAATTATACCGCACTTTGCCAGACCGGCGAGTAGAAAGCATCTCAGCTGAGAGCCTGAGAGTCCCAGCCAGGTCCTGGGGAGGCTAAAAGTGCCCCTTTAAGAACACTTGCGGAAAGAAAGGCGATTTTCAACCACACGTTCTCAGCTTTGGAGTTTAGTTCCTACAGCAGCCTGTCAGCTCGAAACTGGTGCTCTGCAGCTCTACCAGCCGCGTTTTAAACTGTTTCTCACAGAACTGAGGCATCTGTGATCATCTGTGTGTGTCAAGACAATGCCCGTGTGCTTCCCCCAAATGAGCTCGCAGGCTTTTGGCCAGCATCTAACGTTTCACAACAGACAGAGGATGCAAAGATCACTTCTAAGAGCAGCTGTTTTCTGTGGAGAAAAGAGAGGAAAACTGCCCCAGCTGAAGCATTTGGATGAGCTTACACCTTACAAGACAGTAGAAACCCCATCACTATGCCCCCTGAAAACCCAGTAAAATTTATCAGAGACTGTACTTTTTGGACTGGCACTCAGACATGTAAAAATATGTGGAAAACAGGCATTGTTCATCTCACTGCTTCAGAACTGCTTGTTCTCCTGGGGAATGAGTAAGGGACAAGCAAGTGACAGCAAAGTAGGAGCCCCAGGGAGTGGCAGTAGGGATGAGGAAAGTTGTTGGTTTCCTATGAAATCGCCTAATGATTTCCTATTAAATCTTCCTAATTAGATTCATCTATGAGATACGACAAAGCAGATTAAGAGGATCTGACCGCAAAGGCAGGCAGAATTTTGTAATGAAGATCATGACTAAGGTGACACATCATTACTACCAGAAGTTAAAAGCTATGAGTCAGATACACCCCAATACACTGCAGATCTCATTCCTTCAGAGATGACATCGTGCCTTTTTGGCCTCTTGCTGCACCTCTCAGTGATGCACAGTTTAGAAACCCAAGGCGTACAGCATCCCAGAAACTTGGTACACCTCAGCCTGCAGCTTGCTTTGTGAGCTTTCTGGAATGTGAAAATAGATCTTGTTCGTTGAAATATGTGGGGAAAACATTTGCCACGGATGATGCGAAATTTGACCTACCCTGTTTTCAAATGGGAACTCTTTTGTAAATGCAGAAGTGCTGCACACATAGGAGGTTACCAAGTACAATATGTGGCACGAGGTTATTTCAGCCATTACCCCTGGAGATTTATTCTAATTTTATAGTCATAACCCTTTCCTCACCCTTGGCTTTGTAAACATCATTTGAAGACCTATGTCTGACCACAATAACACCAGAAAATAACCAGCAGAGGAAGAATCTGTACATATATTGCCATGACTAGAGGAACACTAGGATCTTGGTTCCTCCTTCTGGAAAATCAAAGAGGAATTCAAATACTTACAGACACACAATTAACAACAGTCTCATTTGGGTCTGTGGAGGGGAATGAGCTCCAGGAATGCAAACTCCAAAGAGACAAAGTACTTGATAGAGAAGAAAGGCAGAGTCATAAACCTTTTATCTGGTCTGGCTGCTACAGAATGACTCGGGGTAGGTGACACAGGGGACCAGAGCAGTACCTTTTAATTTCATCTTTTTCTTCTCAAAGCCTGGGGTTGGATACTTGCTGCTGTTGTATATTGAGGGCTTGCTTCCAGCTCTACCCGAAGTGACCCTTGGGGAAGCTGTCTGTGAGCTATGGGTGCACCCCAGGGTTTCAGCACAAAGCCCTCAGCACTCATACAGCTGCTGAAGTGCATGGAAACACTGACTGCTGTCAGGGAAAGAACTGGGACTGAAACCCTTGGGTTTTGGCCTTGGGATCGTCCCCTGAGCTACGGATCATTTCACAGGCCAAAGTATTTCCCTTCTTCATATACATCTCACTTCCCCAAGCTGGGTGACAACAGTGCCAGCGGCAGGGACTAAAGTCATGTCATTCCTGATAAAATCCTGAGAGACCACAGCACACACTCTGCCTGTTCACATGCACTCTGTGGTTCCCCCAGTGACACACTAGGCTACCAAGTGCCAGCACAGATCAGACTGCCAGCTCCCAAGCACTTTTCAGGAGCTACAAATGAAGAACAAGTTTTGCTGCAAACCTCCCTGATTAAGTGACCATCAGCAGATCACTTATCTCCTAAACAGGGATAAGAGTGCTTCTTACCTAACCACCTGCCCGTGAGATAGAATCATAGAATCAACTGAGCTGGAAGATGCTCACATACTATCAGAATGAGAAGCTTATAAGTAGACAAATTAAAAATAAACCTGAGCTGACATGAGCTCTTCAACAGAGAAGCTTTTTGCAAGTCTATACAGGATTCAGCCCTGAGTAAACAAATCTTGAATGATGAGGCACATCTATTTTGCTGTTACGTTCATATGCACACACAGGATTTGACCCAGGTCCATTTAAAGTAAAGAGAAATAAACATCCTCAAAGTGTCATGATGAAAATGCATTTTTGGCATCCATTATAAATTTGATTGTGTGTATCTGAGGATCAGATTCAGTTTCTGAACATTCTCAGCTAAGAGAATGGAGCTTGACAAAAATTGAAAAAAAACCCACTCTCCAAAAACAGGCAGAAAGAACTAGAACTGGGGAAGATAAGAAAAAGCACATTGAAACACAAAGATGAGTAGACAAAATGCAGAGGAGGAGAAAAGCAAACAGCCAGCCAAGCAAGATAGCCAGATGAAGACAGAAAATCCATCCTGCTCTGGAGATCACCTCTTGACAGTCCAGACAAAAAGCACTGCCCACTGAAAAGCTGATCCAGGCATTATGAACTGAGAATGATGAAGAAGAGCCAAATCATCTGGCACAAGTTGGGAAAGCTACTGTTTAAAACCAGAGGTGAACAGAGGCTTTCTACAACCTCAGCTTTCACAGGGCTATGTTGTTTTTTATCACTTTCCAAAAGTTTCACAATGCAGTGGACATTGAGTCTCTTTTTCATCTTGATGCAAGTCAAGAATTGTACAGGCAGCAAGGCAATTACACTCACCAGACCTCCAGCTGATTCCAAAATGGACCTATGCTGAGTTACAGGAATGTGGAGTCTGACAGGAAAACCAGAACAGTAAAAACCCCAGACAACCTTATCAAATTGCATTGTATCTTTGATGCCACATAAAAGAATAGAAGATTCCCACTTGAATGCAGTGGTGTTTTTGCTTTCTTCTCTGTGCATCTAGTACAGAGTTTGCACTGCCTGGGAGTGGGGAGGAAAAGGAGATTGGCAAAGCCTAAGTTGTCTGTGTTTCCTTGCTCTTGCCACTGTTATGTAATGAAGCCCTTGGCCCATTCCCCTTAGCCAGTTTTATGACACATTTGATTCTGTGTCAACATGAACAAATCTGGCACCTTTAGATTAAAAATCTTCATCGAAGTAGGAGTATCTCAGTGCCTTTTCTGCCCATGTCCTTTAACCTCTGCAGTAGCTGTCTCCCCCAGGAGTCAAGAAAGCCCTTCCCCTGCTCCCTGCCCCCCCAAAACTGGCTGCTGTTCAGCAGAAGCTGGACGTGTGTTTCGCTGTATCAAATCTAATTAAGTTATTCGGAGGATTTACTCGATTACACCTCACTATGTACAGCCATTTACTTCTTCACTGGCTTTTCCTTCATTAGAAATCTGGCATCTCCTCCTCCCCTCTGCACACATTCCCCCGGTGAGCTTTTCTGACATGCGCAAGCAGCACGTGTCCGGTTGTTTTGATCACCAAAAATATCAGATCAGTTCCTCTGAACTCCTGGAACATCAATGTACAACTGCCAAATCCAGCTTGATCTCAGTTGACTTTGTAAGATGCCATTTGCCTTCCCGAAATACTAAGACTTGTTGGGATTTGTGTGTCCAGATTAATTAATCAGGAACATTGTTTAATATATGTACAGAGCTGGGGATCCTTCCAAGTTCTTGAGTGAGCCAAATTCAGGCCCCAGGGCAAGAACAATCAAAATCCTGGCTGTGAGGAACAGAGGGAGAGGGGCTGGACTGAGGACAAGTGTAGCAGGGTACACCAGAGCTGGGCCAACCTGCTGTTCGACCCTTGCGGGGGACAGACCAATGCTTCATTTCCCCACGTGTGGCTCATACTCTGCAGAGGAAGATTAGGAACAACTAAGTATTTTCAGGCAGAGAATCTGGCTCATGCAGGTAATTGCCACTCTGTGCTGTATTTTCAATTGAATAACCCAGTTTTATAGCAGCAAGTTAAAGGAATGTATTGCTCTAATGACCTCCTACAAATGACTCCGCCCTGCAGGACTGTACTTGTCTTATACCTGAGTCAGAGATTTCCCAGTAGAAAGAAGT